GCAGGAAAACACCTTGATTTACTTATGTATTCTACTGTTCGCTGATAACTGGATTGTTTCTAGATTTTTCTATCATGAACAATGCTACCAGGGAATGGCTAGTTTAAAAAAAAAAATTTTTTTTTTTTTTTACTATTTTTTTTTATTTTTGCGAGAAAGGGAGACAGAGCGTGAGCAGGGGAGAGGGAGAGGCAGGGAAACACAGAATCTGAAGCAGGCTCCAGGTTCTGAGCTGTCAGCATAGAACCCCAGGCAGGGCTCGAACCCTCGAAGGGAATAGCTAGTTTTTAAAATGCTCCCTCCAAACAAGCCCTCACTCTGGACTCCAGGGGTCCTGGTTTTGCCTCTGTAAGGAGCACAGGGAGGAAAACCGTGCCTGTAGCTAAAATACTAAAATGCAGAGTTCTCTGCAAGCGAAAGACGATGTGATTCCCAGGTTCTCTCCACACCCTGCCCTGGCCTCACTCCCACACAGACGCCTTCTCCTCCTCTGAACCTGAGATTCCACACCCCTGCTCTACATCGGGGAAAACAATTGGCCTTTTTAGACACAGTCTGGATTTCTGAGTCACACCCCTCTCTCTACTATCTCCCCCCCGTTCTCCCCCAGGTAAGGGAGAACAGAGATCCTGATGAAAGGGCTCCATTGATAGGCCATGGGTATGAGAGCGTGAGAGCCGGAAAAGCAGATGATCCAGGCTCTGCCCTGCATGGATGGCCAGGGAAGCATGGAGATGCCAGCCATCTGGCCTACCCGGCCCTCACATTTGCCACATGGCCACAGGGGGAAAGAAAGGAGACCTGCCCACGGTCAGGGCCAGGCACCTAATGTACACTATTTCCATTTAAGGCCCATACAATCTTAAAGGTAGAAAAGTAATAATAGAAAATGACTAACGCTTACCAAGTACACAGATAAGCGAGTTACGGGCCATATGTGCTTTGTGTCATGAGCCATAACCCATGACTGTGATGACGAAATTAATTTAGGAAGTTAAGACCAGCATTTAAATGGAAACAAACAAGACTGGAATTAAGTTGGAAATACTGGTGACTGTCCGGTAAAGTAAGGGTTAAGTACTGTTGTGTGAACCTTCTGTGTCCCTCAAATCCACTTACATTTATTCACAGGTACTGGGTCCCAACGTAGAATGTATCTCTCCTTGTGGGCAGAGGCGAAAACATTTTATGTCATTTATTTCATAACAGTCCTGAACTAACCTAATTTAACAATAACTGGAGCTACTTCCCCAACTACATCTGTATCACACACCACAGACATCAACTGCCCCCTCAAGCTGACAAAATGGCCTCTTTTCTGTTCCTCTTTCCTCGTCCAGAACACATGCTGTGCCCTGAACACTCTCCCACCCCCCTCACCAGCTCTTAGCACAGCTGGTTCCTTTCCATCCTGCAGGTTTCGGCTGGAGCGTCATGGCCGCAGAGAGCCAGCCCCTCTCCTGCCTGTGGCCATGTAACACTTGTTTCCTTGTTTGCTGTCTGCCTCTGTGCCCCCAGCTACCACTCCAAGGACAGAGCGAGCATCTGATGCACTCACCGATATATACCTAGCACAGCACCAAACATGAGGAAGGCACTCTGTCTCTGTTAAATGAATACAAAAACTTACCAAGTCTTCACAGCTGGTAAAGGGACAAAGCCAGGATTCCAGCACAGATTATGTCTGACTCGAGGCTTGCTCTTAACCTCTGCACTACATTAAAACTCAGAAACAGCACAACACTGCCTTGGGCCACACCGCTAGTAAGTAAGCGTTAGCACTGGGACAGGACTCGAGCACGTCCAACTCCAACGCTCATGCTCTATTGTGTCAACAGGGTGGGGGGCCATGAGTGGCTCAAAGGGGCAGTCTCTTATAGTCAGCTGAGAATTTGGAAGGGATAAAGGGGGAGAATGCAAAAATCATCAGGCTGGTAGGGAAGAAATGAGTAGAGAGATAACAGAAGAAATCAAGAGAGCAGGTAGCTCAGAAATCGAGGGGAGGGGTGCCTGGGTGGCTCAGTCTGTTGAGTGTCTGACTCTGGATTTCGGCTCAGGTAATGATCCCAGGGTCATAGGACGGAGCCCCATGTTGGGCTCCACACTGAGCATGAAGCCTGCTTAAGATTCTCTCTCTCTCCATCTGCTCCTTTCCCCTTCTCGCATGCTCTCTCCCTCTCTAAAATAAAGAGAAAAGAAAAGAAAAGAAAAGAAAAGAAAAGAAAAGAAAAGAAAAGAAAAGGAAAGGAAAGAAAAGACTGAAAGAAAGAAAGAAATTGAGGGGAGAAGGGCTTCCCTACGCAAGCAATATTGTGGGGAAGGAGGTCTGGAGGAACAGCCAGAGTTGGCAGAAAAACTCAAAGCAGCAACTGTGCAGGGGGCTCAGAGGGCTGAGGCCGCAGGAACCCTGCCTAAAGGCCTCTACAGGCAGTGTTAGCAGTTGGTGACTCTGAGGTTGGAGAGGTGGGGCCGAGAAGGCTCCTGCACACAGGCCAAAGGAGCTGGCCAAGGGAATGCTTTGGTAATGCCGCCACCTTGTGGCTGTGGAATGCTTTGCCCATAGGAAAAAAAAAAAACCGGCTGAGTTAGTTTGTGGGTTCATTTTCCAGCAGCATTTATTGAGCACCTAACATGGATCGGGTTGCTGGGGACCGGAAATGGGTCTGACATGGCTCCAAATTTCAGGACCTCTGTCCCTACATCCAGGTGGTGACTAAACCTTGTTCAGTTTACTTCCCTCTTTCATAGTAACTTGTAGGGTGTCCTTCCCCAAACAAGACTGCAGAGCAGAAAGGGTATCCTATTCACTGCAAGTTACAGAAACCAGCATAGAACGCAGCACATGAGAATAATCATAGCGGCTATTATTTAATATGGGTTAAGTGTTTTTAAAAACATTGGCACACCTGGGTGGCTCAGTCGGTTGAGCGTCTGACTTTGGCTCAGGTCATGATCTCACAGTCCATGAGTTCGAGCCCCACATCGGGCTCTGTGCTGACAGCTCAGAGCCTGGAGCCTG